ATAACAGCAAACTATACTTTTTTTGTAAGACTACAGTTTCAGACCTCTCAGGCAATGTATTTTCTATTCACAATTAAAAGCTTTCGACGTTGAATGATTTGTGTATTTGATCATTACAAATTACACCCACAACTACTTTCAACAACAAAATACACGGTCTTCAAAAGACAAATCATCGTAAAAGAAAAAGCAATGATGGTCAAGTATTGCGATCGAATAGTGAAAGAAATTTTCTCTAACTCTTAACCCATTTATACTTTCCTCGACCGGTTGATTATTTTATTTTATTATCAACGTGCGGTTCGATCTCAGTTATTCATTGTCTTTTTGCAGATCGCCGCGATATAGCATTTTTTGTGCTGAGGTGTCGTAAAGCAAACACCAATCAATCGATCAATCTTTTTGCAGATCATTGAAAAAGAAAGTTAAAGTTTGCGTACATGTATATATCGTCTAAAAATCATTTAAGATACAGATCAAAAATTAACTTAACGCTCAGAAAGCCTCGAGTTTTAATTTGAAAATTTAACTGTCTCGAGTGGGGAAATATTGTTTCACACTCGCTGTAGTAGTAGAATCTAAGACACATACACATCTTGTCTATGCAAAGACCAGCATAAATGTCAGACTTAAAGGAGATGTTATTCTTAAGCCCATTTTTTTACCTCTTGAATTACAAAATCAAAAGTATTATGAATTTACCTTCAGGTGTAAATAAAACATTAGTCTGTAAGATAGAGTTTTTTTTTTATTTTTGAATGTTGCCTTACATATTTGAATAAGGGCTTCAAACTGTTGAGTGTACTAATGCTACGTCTGTAAAAAAACACATTTTATTGATGATTGACTTACTTTCAGAACTTAAGTAAATTAAGGCAACAGAAGTATACCGGTGTTCAAAAGTCATAAATCGATTGAGAGAAAACAAATCCGGGTTACAAACTAAAACCGAGGGAAACACATCAACTATAAGAGGAAAACAAAGGAACAACAGGAACACTGAAATGCAACAAAAACAAACGCCAACATACATATTTGATAACAACTGCCATATTCCTGACTTGGTACAAGACATTTTAAGAAAAAATGTTGGGTTGAACCTGGTTTTATGGCTAGCCAAACCTCCCGCTTATATGACAATGTTAAAAAAATATCGTTAAAATGACAACACTACGTGACAAAATACAGCACAAACACACGAAAGAACACTCATCACAGAGAAACGCACAAACAAATAATATATTAGTCGACACAACATGCAAACCACAGAACAACAACGAACATCTTCAATCAACGACAGACACCACAGGACATTATAAACGGTGACGCACTTACGTAGCAAACATGCAATAACGAATTTTATACAATTATTTTCACAATACCAGTCCAAACAATTTTCATGACAATGATGGTATTGAAAGGCAATTGTATAATTATTTGGACTACAAACGATAAGACATAACATATTATCCAACCGAAACCATAACAGAAACATCAAAAATCAATACATGAATGTTGGATGTACAAAATACCGAGACACGTCGAATAGCAATGCAAATTCACACACGGTATAACAGTCATATTCGGGAATAGGTCACGTTCGGTACTTAGTAACCGTATCATCAAACTAATTACCGTTAGAAATGTTACAGTCATTTATAGTCAATAAAGATATCATTTTGTAGAAATTGGCACCCAAGAAACAAATGGAACAAGTAAGGTCATATGCTTTTACTCACAAAATATTGATTTCAATTAAATGGTTTTAGTTTATATCATTGTTAGAGTAATTTTGATTTCTTTGAATTTTGTATACTACATCTATTAAAAGTGAATTTCAATGTAATGATTTAGGTGTTTGTACGGGATTTAGTTATATAGAGATATAACTATAATTATGATATTTTCTTTTAACTTCACACACGTATACGAACTATTGATAAGAATCGTTTAAGAAAGTCACAAACATTGGATGTCCTTGACCATTGTTGAAAATGTTGGTTGTTTTGCATAGTAAGTAAGCTATCATACTAAAATTAATGCAGACGGGTCTTACAAAAAGAATAAGTTGGTTTACCGATACGACGTGTCTTTGTCTCAACGGAAGAACTGAAGACATGTTTTCACGGTCTTAGATCTTAATACACCAAAGCTTTTCCTTTGATGGTAAAAGTAAGAGATATTTAAAATTTTATCAAATACCCCTTTCTGTGTTTGTTTCAATCTTACCCCCATTTTTTCATCCTTTTAAAAATTACCGTTACCACTGACAGATCAGCCAGAATAACGTAGACAGACTTCTCGCTGAAACTAGTAGATGAGTTTGGACTCATGAAAATTTCTCTGGACTCAGCATTTTCTCAATTGGTGATTAAAAGATTCATCAAGAATGTACAATTCATATTTCATAATATCAAAATGTGGTAGCCAATATTTATTGATAATCTGAATTTGATTAAATTTACTTTCTTTCGGTTGTTTTTCACTTGTTCCGTTAATTGATTGTGTGATTTTGTCAGTTTTTAAAGACTTCCCCTTTTTGAATTTGCCTTGTAGGTCAGTATCTTTGTTATAGTTTTTTTTTTTCTTATTTCGTTATGGAGACTTAGTATTGAAAGAATAATCTATAGCATTAACATTGGGATTTTTTTCTTCGCACTTTTGTTCTCGCCATGGTCATATATGGTGAGTTTATGGACTCTCCTACAAAAAACTATAGAGAGAACCCTGAAAGGATTAAATATCTGTGTTTATTAATTATCAATTTCTATGGAATTTCTTTATCCTCACCCCAAAAGTATCGTGCGAACAGAAACAACCATAGTCTAAAAGCTAGAGCTTATTTGTATCAACTGTCACACAAAATGAAAACCGGCTAATGTTGTGCTCATAAAAGATATGAATTATCACTAATTAAAAACTATCGTCTATTCAATACTATTTCATCTCATCTATGCATAAAATTAAATTTCGATTTGATACTCATATCCTTATTCATATTTTTTTTAAAGATTATAGACTCATATTGACAATCATAGCAGATCATTCCCTTTTGTATTTATATGCCAAACTCCTTTTGTATTTATATGCCAAACTCACACCTTGCTTTCATAGTTGTTTTATCCCTCAGTTTAGTTTGTTATGCGAGTAAAATAAAACATTTGGCTTTTTGTGTCAGTTTTACGTTGTTTATTAGGTGGCTTAATTTTATTTTGCATATCGTGTGATTACAACGACGCATTATTCAGTGCTATGATACTCTTTATGAGTGTTGTATCTTTTTTGTTGAATGATTATAACATCGTTTTGTTTTATTTTTTCAGTGCTATATTTCTTGTGTCATGTTGGTACAGCACATGGTAAGTTATTGTCTCTGTATTAAAAATAGTTCCATTAGGGTTTTCGATATCACAAATTAGTCAAAATATTTACTAAATTTTATCATCGGTACAAGGACATCATTCGTAAATATAAATCAAAATGCAGACATCTTATACGTTCAGGTATTTCACTTCCAATCTTTTATGGTAATATTCTATACAAAGTACAAAAATGTCGTCATTCACCTCAAAAGCTAACCAAACCTTTAAACAAACTTATTCAGAAGGGATATAGTTACGATACTTTTGTTAGGTCATTAAAGGTTGCATTTTTTGGAATTAATATTGATTCACTCATAGGGTCTTTGTATCGGAAATAAAAACATTTATTCTAAAACAAGTTGTTGTCATGATACGGGTTATCTTCTTCTCATATATTTTATGATGATATGATACTAAACCCCTAACGGGAGGAATTGTGCTTGATTTTCATATGATGAAGACATTATCAATTGAGGTCTTGAGCTGGCATGTCAGTTACTGCTAGTAGTCCTTTGTTAACTTATGTATCATTGTTATTTTGCTTAGTTTCTTTTGTTACCTATTCTGACATCGGACTCGGACTTCTTTTAAACTGAGTTTCACTGTGAGTATTGCTGTGTGTTTATTTATTCTCCATTGGCTAGAGGTATAGGGTGAGGGTTGAGATCTCACAAAACATGTTTAACCCCGCCGCATTTTTGCGCCTGTCCCAAGTCAGGAGCCTCTGGCCTTTGTTAGTCTTGTATGTTTTTTTAATTTTAGTTCATTTATTTGTTTTGGAGATTAGTGTGACGTCCATTTTTACTGAACTAGTACACATTTTTGTTTAGGGGCCAGCTGAAGCCCGCATTCGGATGCGGGATTTTCTCGCTGTGTTGAAGACCCATTGTGGCCTTGGGCTGCTCTTTGGTCGGGTTGTTGTCTCTTTGACACATTCCTCAGTTCCATTCTCAATTTTAAGTTGTCAAAGCTCATTTTTGTATTTCGACAAAAACCTGTACTTAACCTTACATCCCCTGTCTTCCTCATCTTGGAAATGAGCAATGATTCAAACTTTGTTGCACAATATATATAAATAATGTCAAAATTATATTATATACATATTTGATATAACTCAAAGCATAAATAACAATTAAATAACGAAATTGAAAATATGTTAAATTAACTCAAGAAGATAGTAATAAAAATGCAAATGTCTTCAGTAAGAGTTATTATTATTTTGCATTAGCGTTTTGTTTTTGTGATTGATTTTATTTTATTTCAGATAAGCGCGTGTTTGATAACTCAGCAGCATGGATGGACTTTTATTTGGGCTTTTTAGACAACAACGGTCCAAATGGTTATGTCCAACTAAGCGTAGTTGCATATGATTCTGGATCGTGTAAAATAAATATTCCATTCTTCAATATCAGCGAATCAATTGGTATTAATGGTAGCAATAAAAATATTTACAATATCAGTAAAGATATTGAAATGAATGTCACTGGAATAGAAAAGAAAGGTGTAAAAGTTAGCTGTGATATCGATGTGTCAATATATGCTATGAGTTACTATATGGCATATTCCGAAGGGTACCTGGCAATGCCGTACCAGAATTTGGGACGAAAGTACATCGCAGCTACGTATAGCAATATTAACTTCACAATAATAATGCTAAATAACGTCAGTGTTGGAGTTGTATGTACAGAAGATAACACCACGGTAACGTTGTTTCTGAAAATTAAAAATGGTGTACTGTATTTTGGTGGACATGCGTATCAATCGAATGATTCTCTAACTGTCAATCTTAATGCCTATGAAACATTTTATTTTTCAAATACACATGACCTCAGTGGTACTCTTATTACATCGACAAAACCAGTGGCGGTTGTTTCTGGTGGCGATATAAGCATTAACAAATCTTCCCAATATACGGACTATACAACGGAAATGATTCTACCCAGTGAACAACTTGGGAAAAATTTTGTTGTTCCATTGTTATATGATTCATTTTGTCTCTACAGAGTACTAGCCGATGACGATACTACTGTAACCATTCAGAACTCAACAAGTAGAAGTACTAAAAGTCTTGTCAAAGGCGAGTTTCTGGAAATTTCAAATTTTACTGCATCAACCGTTGAATCTTCCACGGGTGTTCTTGTACAGTTATACTGTGCTAAACTACACACCACTTGTAATTATGCCATGACCACAGTGCCAAGTATTCAACATTTTAAAACTGGTTATCGATTTGCCGTTGTTTCGAATTATCCTCTTGACAGGTTTCCGCCAGATAATTTTTATATCACAATTATAATCACAGCAGACGACAAACATGATCTGAATTTAGACGGCAAGAAAGGAATTGTGTTTAATGAAAAATCAAAAATTAAATTGGTTGGAAAGAAATACTCTATCCTTTCACATGAACTAAGTGTAGGAATTCATGAAATAGAGCATGTCGGTAGAGTTCCATTCGGACTTATCGTTTATGGACGAAATCCATTAGATGGATATGCTTACCCTGCAGGACTTAAATTGAATTCACAATAAAAGCGTTAAACAGAAAGTGTTCAGTATAAACAAAACGTTTACTTTAAATAGCCCCAACACAACTATCCCATAACTCGTAAGATAAACTGCCTAGCCCCAACACAACTATCCCATAACTCGTAAGATAAACTGCCTAGCCCCAACACAACTATTCCATAACTCGTAAGATAAACTGCTTAACTTTGTGAGCATCAATCCCCTTATATTCACAGAATCATAATATTTGCTTTACCCATACATGTTGTTTGTGTTGTTGAGTTACTTTCTCGATGGTCCTATATGTCGTTTTATTCATTAACATTGGAGTCAAAATGATCAAATTTGCATGAATTCTATCGGAATGAGACGATATGCGTTGACAGGATAAGTGTCTTTTACTATCCATCCAATACCCATCATACGGTTCCAAAGTCACACCCAAAGGTATGTGTGAAGGCCAGGGACAAAACAGATTATCAGATTGTTCCAATTGTCATAACCACAATCCCGTCCTCCTTTCTTCTATTGTGACAGCAACGAATGAGACTTATGACCGGGCTTGTACTTGTATGATCAACAAGACGGGTACCACATGTGGATTAGGAATTGTCTATCCTCCTGCAGCATATGAGTTCACCCACGATTTTCGATAGGGTTCGTGTTGCTCAATCTTTAGTTTTCTAAGTAAAGTTGTATGGAATTTTCGTCTTTTCGTCGTTTCGTTTTTTTGCAATGTCGTTGTCAGTTTGTTTCCGACATTATGACGTTTGAATGGCCTTTGCTATCTTCCGCCTATTCTTTTACATAGTGAGCAAATAGGATCTATGACGGAGTTAAAATGTCACAAGAGAATGAAGAAATTTAAACATTGTAACGATCAACTGACAACGACGAAATAATAATTCTTCTCCTTTGCCTGAATGGTGTATTTTTAGTTGAGTAAATACGAAGACGAACAGAAATACATCATCACAAAACACGCTGAAGCAACATAAAGGCTACCAAAAACCAATTGTGAACGCAATAGCTTATCATAACTCGCTTAAACAATGCCCGTTTCACCAGTTGTGTTTCTCATAGCATGAAATAGATCCTTGGTCATCTGTTAAACAGTATCTACTGATTGATGTTGCTTGTTCATAAGTATGCCTCGCTTATTATCATATATGTAAATACAATTATGAAAGATACCAGAATTACAACTTTGTACGCCAGACGCGCTTTTTGTCTACAAAAGTCTCATCAGTACGCGCGAATTAAAATTTTAAAAAGGCCAAATACAGTACGAAGTTTCAAACCAGGTTTAATCCACCATTTTCTACATAAGGAAATGCCTGTACCAAGTCAGAAATATGACAGTTGTTTTCCATTCGTTTGATGTGTTTGTCTTGTCTGCTCTTTAGTCGGGTTGTTGTCTCTTTGACATATTCCCCATTTCCATTCTCAATTTTATTGAGCTTTAGATTTTGCCATTTGAAAAGGGACTTTCCGGTTTGCATTTTCCTTCGAGTTCGGTATTTTTGTTATTTTACTTTTTGAAGAGCATTGAGAACCCAAAATTCCGAAATTTATTATATTATAATTATAGTAATAAAACACAACATATAATTTTGTTATTTCGTTCAGTAGGAAACAGTATTCTATATTTCTTCTAATAATTCAATTTCTTTTTTCTGTCGTTTAAGGTATCTATACCATAACAGAAAACGTTGATATTATTAGAAATTACCAACAATGATGGACATTACGAAAAGAAGATCATTAGAAAAAAGAAGCAGAAGATATCTTTGGGACATTCAAAATTCATGTCGATATAAACTGTCAATATAAACTGTCAACGCCAAGGAAAATAAACGATAGACACCGAAAAGATAAAATATCAACCCCACAAAATCTACATAAACTGAGCTAGACGTACCCCACCAAACACTTGGGGTGATCTCAAAATATCAACAGTGTTGGATATCACCAAAAGAAGATTATCTAAAATAATCGAAAGTGTTGAAAATCACCAAAACATGATAATTAATTCTAATCAGAAATATAGAGATATATCGTGGTATGATTCCGCTGTTATTTAATAAAAAGTGGTATTTCGCATATTCATCCCCAGTTGTTGGTGGGGTTCGTGTTGCTTACTCTCTAGTTTTCTTTGTTGTGTTTTGTGTACTATTGTTTGTCTGTTGATCGTTTTCTTTTTTAGCCATGACGTTGTCAGTTTATTTTCGACTTATGAGTTTGAATGTCCCTTTCGTATCTTTAGCCTCTCTTTTCCTGTCTATGGTTATACTTTTCATAAAGCTAACAAATTTAAAAATTATTCTTCATGTCTTTCTGTTTAGGGGATAAGAGCTAAGAGCCACTTTGAACGTGCAGTGAGGTGAGAGATTTGGTCCTTGTTGAAGGCATCACTGTGACTTTGAGATGCAGAATAGCACTAAAAGCGCTGTCTATTTTGTTTTAGATTTTTGTTCCTTCAATGTGCGTGTAGGGAGTTTCTATAATGAACTGTTAAACCATGTTCCTTCTTTTCCGCTTATTTGTTATTTGGAAAAAATATCTAAGTTTGAATTTTGCGCGTAGGGGGATTCCATAATGAAATGTTATACCATATTCATTCTTTTCCGCTTATTTGTTAATTGAAAAAATAACTAAGTGAATTTTGTGCGTAAGGAGTTTCTATAATAAATTGTTACACCATATTAATTCTTTTTCGCTTATTTGTTATCTGAAGAAATATCTAAGTGTGAATTTTGTGCGTAGGGAGTTTCTATAATGAATTGTTACACCATATTCATTTTTTTCGCTTATTTGTTCTTTGAAGAAATATCTAAGTGTGAATTTTGCTCGTAGGGAGATTCCATAATGAAATGTTATACCATACTCATTCTTTTCCGCATATTTGTTAATTGAAAAAACAACTAAGTGAATTTTGTGCGTAGGGAGTTTCTATAATAAATTGTTACACCATATTCAGTCTTTTCCGCTTATGTGTTATTTGAAGAAGTATCTAAGTGTAAATTTTGCAAAGGGAGTTTCTATAATAAATTGCTACACCATATTCATTCTTTTCGCTTATTTGTTCTTTGAAAAAATATCTAAGCGTGACTTTTGATTTTCTGTATACTGTTTTGGCACATGATCATTTCTTTCCTAAGTTTTTTTCCCTATATTCATATTTTTATATATGTCTATACAAAATACGCTAAAATAGGATTGTTTAAAATAGACAATTATGTTAGTTCAATTTCTTTATTTTTGTTTTTATGAACAAATCGAACTTTGAGCTTGTATCCAGTAATTACGATTATGTTTTGTATCGGTCTGATATAATGATTATTTTGTGTATCATTCTGTTATTTTACAGCTAAGTTATATAGGTTTCATAACGAGTGAGAATGGGATATCGCTTGATATCAACTCGAGTTATTTAATATCAATATAATGATAAACGAGACTTCGGCGAGTTTATTATTACTATTTATATTAAATAGCGAGAGTTGCCATGGACTAAATGTACATTGTCTTAACCTTTGAAAGTCATCATTGACCTAACGAATAACCAATGGAAGTGCCGTGATATCGTCTTGTGATGCTGGGTAAGACAATCAAATTAACGCAGATTTTCATATCACATTTTCGTATCACACTCCGTGCAGTAAATAAATATATTTAAGAACAGACAATAATAATCTTTACAGGATTTCATGACTTTTAACGATATAAAGCGACGTTACACATATGTTATATGATATAAACAATAATGACGCAAGCCGTAGAGTAAAGATCAAGTTGTATATTAAAATACGTCGCTTTTTATTTTGTAATATGTTTTCTCTTATGGTTTTGTGGCCTGTTATCTATTTCTTGCATGAATAGATTATTACACTGAACGGAGTGTGATACGAAAAAGTGATATGAAAATCTGCGTTAATTTGATTGTCTTATCCAGCATCACAAGACGATATCACGGCACTTCCATTGGTTATTCGTTAGGTCAATGATGACTTTCAAATGTTAAGACGATGTACATTTCGTCCATGGCAACGGACATATATAAAATATAGATGCATTGGGAAGTCTAATTAGCCATACCAGTGATAAAAATGATTTATCCAACATAAAGACAGAATATTAACACTATATGAACCAAAATAAGTGTTGTGAGAATTTAAAAAAGAACTAATCCGTATGACAAAATTTGAAACATTTATAAAGTAAAAATATGATATAACTGTGTTTATTTACTACGCATAAACTTGTGGTGAACCAAAGGAAACATGGGAAGGTCAGACACAATCTTCGCTTTAACATTATCAGACTCAATATTAACATTAGAATTACCTGCACGTCAATCCAGAACAGGCAATGATGATGCTAATAACTGTATGTAAGTTATAGAAATGACTTTGTACCAAATTCATACATACATGTAAATTTGAAATGTGCTACTCATGTTGTTTTGTGCCGACAGCTGTATAAGACAATTTGTAAGATTATATTTGATCATGGTATATATTATTTGGTAAAATGCATTGAGAGTTTTTAGATTTTATTTTAATCATTTTTTCAGATTTACTTTCAGTGGGCTATGTCAGAACAATTTTAGGTAAGTCAAATGTACATTTTTTTGTAAGAAACTTATGATCAAACGACACATTGACTACATCATGTGGTGTAATATGTCACAGTGATTATCCATATATATGAATGTAGATTAATTATGACCTTTTCATAATTTGCCAAGATCGTTAAAATTTACTGACGAATTTTCAATTTTATCATTACTATTTTTTATCATTCAGTACAGTAAATGAACACATGATATCGATATGATTAAATTGCTCATTATTTTACATATGTATTTACAAGTTAGTGAATACCTCTATCCGGATTTAACTATAACAAAGAAATGTCGTTTGTGAATTCGTGACAACAGTTATAGTAATGTGAAACTTTGATAGTACACACGTACTGAAAAATTGTTTCGTTTAGTATCAGATTTAGATTAAAACTCGATTTTATAGGTTGATGTAAAGGCCTTTTTATGACACCTTGGTCGTAAATAACTTGTATATATGACAGTCTAATTTTCATAGGTTTGACATGTTTTGCATGTAGTGGACTTCATGATCCGTGGTATTGCAATACAGTTGAACATTGTTATGAGGGACAGGTTAGAAAGATATTTTAGATGAAGAAGAATATATCATTAATCTGATTTAGGATATTTATTATTAGCTTAAACTTTAGCAAACTAATTGTAGAGCAAATAAACATATAGTGTCTACCTCGGTGTGTCCAACGTATTTCTAGACTAACGCTTGAGGTAAAAACAAATCTAGGAAGGAGAAACTATCGAACATTGAGAGCCTGATATCAGAACCAGAAGGACTGAAACAAAACATCGGACCTTATTTGATAACATGTCAGAAACACCATTAAAATTGTTGTGTCAGTGTAAACCAGCTTTTTAGACATTCTTTTTTACATACTGTGGAATTCATTATTATTCATGAGATACCAATATTCGTTGATTTCGTGGGTTAAGGTTTACTACAAATTTAAATGTTCATCGTAATACAAATTTTTCTGTAAGGTCATATGCAGACTTTAACAAACTTTAGCAAAACCACAAAAGCAAATAAACACGCCAGTACTAATTTTCCTCAATGCACGCAAATTGGAATCCACGAAAATAAATAAATCAATTGCTGTGACGTCAGCCTATTCATTTACCGTGGATTATTTTTCTAGAATCAACGCTATCAACGCTTTCTAAATGCTGAAATGGACTAACCAAATTATATTCAATTGTTTCCTTTGTGCGTCTCGTTAAGTTTGAATTGGCTAATTTACTGATTTCTGTTCACTAATGGAATTAATGTAAAACTTATCTTTAACTTTTGTAATTTGTATATGCCTATACTGGGAATCGAACCCCTCGTTATGTGTGACTGACATCAACACATCGACGAAACCTCTTCTCGGCTACCAATGCGTTGCAATTAATTTTATATATATATCAATGAACATATGATATGTATCGGTACAACAGACACACAGGGCGTGTACCTTTATACATACATAATAGACAATTGTTATAGACAATCGTATAGTATAAGTTTGTAGCCGCGAGGTTAAGATCAATGAGTTATAGAGTTAAGTTAGAAGTAGAGACTTGTCGGTTTAAGTTCGAATCCCTATTTTCTCTTTGTTGTCTTTATTCATATATAGTTTTATTATTTTGTATAATATTGTGGATATTTTTGTAATAATAGCGGGTTTTCCGTTTATTTTTGGATTATTATTGGTTATTTCAGGTATTTGAAAAGTAAATAATTACATTTAATTTGCCCTTTTTTGTTTTATAAATTAGTATGACTTCATCTGTTCTACTATATATACTTATAAATGGTTATTCGCAAATCCCTATGCGAGCAAATCGTGATGTGCCTAGAATTATGTTTCTTGCTAGAAATTTCGGTAACATACTAATTATATATACTTAAAAATAAGTTCGATTATGTCTTATTTGTAAATTCAGATGAACAATAATTTAAAGACAGATGTTTGATGTTGTATTTGTATTTCTCTTACCAATTAATTGTGAACTTTGATTTATTAATGCATTGTTGAATATGAAATCAAGGTTAGTTTACTGATGTTAACTATACTCATTTACAATACCTTCTAATTAAGGAAAGGCTTTAATTGTGAAAAGGCAACAAACAATATTTTAAGTTCGAGACACAATGGATAAGCGTTGATCCATGAAAAACAAATCATTCGCAATCCGGGCTCATGGTTTCTTTTTCAAGAATCAACGCTTATCCGTTGTGTCTATAATACTGAATCCACAGTATCTGTATAAAAATGTGATTTTCCTGCAAAATAAGTACGAAACGTTAACTGACCAGCAGAGTATATGACAGGGGAGCGATTCCAAAAGTTTGGATAATAAGACACAGCAATAGTTTACTGATGTCAAAACTCATTTTAAATACACAAAGCAAGAGAAAAACCCTGGAGGATATACGCAAACTCACAAGCAGTGCTACAGTCAAGAAATATTATACTAACCGAGAAATATCGATAGAACGTTCCTAGACAAATACCCTATAAGTATGGCCCCTTGGTTTGAGCATACCTATGAAATTTCGCGCTTAATAGAGCGAAACAGAGTCGGAAACATTTATATTTCAGTTCTAATTTTTATTTTTTCTAGACGTGTGGTATGACAAAGTTTGTAACCAAGTCGGGAGAAGCTAACTTTCATCTTGGATGCGTTAATAGCACGGTCAGCAGTAATAAATTTATGAAATAAATACAAAATAAACGATAAGTTAGAAATAGCGATAAAAATATCTTCACATCTCAATTACATAAAAAGATTAACATCAGTTACCAAAAATACTGAACAGACTAACATCAACACCGAAAACAACTACAAACAACAATGAACAATACAGTTCAGATTGGCTTGCTACATGTATATAATTCATGGGAGATGAGTAATAAAGGCAACAGTAGTATTCCGGTGTTCAAAAGTCGTAAATCAATTGAGGGAAAACAAATCCGGGTTACAAACTTAAACCGAGGGAAACACATCAACTATAAGAGGAAAACAAAGGAACAACAGGAACACCGAAGTGCAACAAAAACAAACGCCAACATACATAGAAACGAACTATTTGATAACAACTGCCATATTCCGGACTTGGTACAGGACATTTTAAGAAAAAATGGTGGGTTGAACCTGGTTTAATGGCTAGCCAAACCTCACGCTTTATGACAATGTTAAAAAATATCGCTAAAATGACAGCACTACGTGACAGAAATACAGCACAAACACACGCAAGAACATTCATCACAGAGAAACGCACAAAAAATTATAATAGTCGACACAACATGCAAACCGCAGAACAACGGCGAACATATTCCATCAACGACAAACACCCCAGGATATCACGAACAATAACGCGCTTACGTAACTAACATGCAATCTCGAACTTTATACAATTGTTTTCACAATACTCGTTTAAACAATTTTCATGACAATGATGGTATTCAAAGGCAATTTTATAATTATTTGAACTACAAACGATAACACATAACACATTATCCAACCGAAACCATCAAACATCAAAAATAAATACATGAATGTTGGATGTACAAAATACCGAGACACGTCGTATAGCAATGCAAATTCACACTCGGTATAATAGTCATATTCTGGAATATGACAATGATGGTATCGAAAGGCAATTTTATAATTATTTGAACAACAAACCATAAGACATAAAACATTATTCAACCGAAGCCATAACAAAAACTTCAAAAATAAATACATGAATGTTGGATGTACAAAATACCGAGACACGTCATATATCAATGCAAATTCACACTCGGTAGAACAGTCATATTCGGGAATAGGTCACGTTCGATACTTAGCAGACAGACGACATAGATGTTAAACCACAATCTAAGACGTGGTGAAAATGTCATTAGTTAATTTAGACACAGACACATCGTATAGATCAACCAATTCGTGATGGTGTCCATAAAATTTACGGAGTGGCATTTTTTAATCTTTCCTCCTTATAACACTGTTGGAGCAGTTTCTGCGTAAGGAGCACACTCATGTATATTAAGTACCCTCAAATTTATTTATGGTACTACCTCATTATTTCAGGCCATAACATGAAAAGAGAAAAACATAACAAACAAATAAAACAAGAACATGCAAACAAATATTGTGCTTTACATTATTGTTGTTGTTGACTGGTATTAAAGGTTTGTTCTAGTCGCGACAAAAATCAACATGATCAAGAGAGTAAGCTTTATTCAAAAGCAAAATTGTAAGTATCTCTTGTTTAACATTATTTTCGGGCACACACATTTATTTTAAAGAGAAGCAAATATGCTGCCGAGCATTTCCTTCTTCGGGTTAGGCGAATTAACATAATTTTTCGTATTATGCGTTTGGGGACATCATTACACACGAACCTTCCTAATGATATTCACATGAATTTGAAAAATAAAATTTCTATTATTATCAACCTTGTTAACATTATTCTGATTTTGTCATTTGCATACAGAACCATCATTTATTAATATGTGGACGAAGTCCCCAATTACAGTAGAAAAATTTTAAAAAAATCAATCTACTAATGAACTCAAAATCGTTAACTTTTCTTTCTAACTTTTTTTATTTTCCTGCATCTGCGCAGAAATCTTTTCCGGTATCGTTTATCTCGGGATTTGAGAAAAATTTCATGGGGACGTGCCTTATAGCAGTAAGCAAATCAATAAACATAAAAATCAATATAAATATCAAAATACCAATGAAATTATAGCGTTTCATTGTTTACATTGAAAATGACGTCACAACTAAAATCCCTTATAGGACCAACATCGGAAACGTTTCCGTATTTCCGTTTCTTTTTCAACAGATTCTGGGGTTAAAATATGCTAAAATTCAAAAAATAATTTATACAGACTTCGTCCCATTTCACAGGTATCACCTGCCTCATATTATTGGAACAAGGTCCCCAATTACAGTCAGAAAATCAATAAAATGAAAATATATATGTAGGACTCGAAACCGCAATGGCACTCCGAACCGCGATGGTCACGCTGAAGTGCGATGGACCACGCTGAAGTGCGTTGGTTAACACTATGAAGTGCGATGGTGACATTGTGACATTAACTTGTTGATAGCTACGCTGAAGTGTGATGGTGGTTACGCTTCCTGTGACATTGAGTAAAAAGCAAAATATACTGCATATAGTACTGAGCAGGGTCCATCTCATTTTATAAAATATAATTTGTTCACGTCATGACAAACTTAGAAATTTCTCCCAACAATCATTCATACATTTATCTTATGTCGGAACAGTGTCCAAGAAGTGAAAATTAGCCAATTATATTTATGCTTGACATATAGCGTGAGGTGTCACGTATTCCATCAAAAACTTTAAAATTAGCTGCTTTTCGCTGAGGTGGAGAAATTTGGAAGTACACGTAGGGACCAGTCAGGTTTATTTCGGCCAAACCTGTTGTTGAAGATTCACACTGTAACCACAATAAAATTATGCTAGAGTGCCGGTGTTCTTACAAAGCATGATTTATCTTGATAATAAAACAACATTATATCAACTTGATAAAGCAAAAACATAGGTAATAATAAATTTTATCATTAAATTGTCTACACAAAATCACTTGACGCATACTTGAAGAGAAGTCAAAATTTATATCTAAATCAATATATTTTATCTATTGTGCAAGAAGTTTGCGGTATACTTCCGAACACTGGTTATGTTTTTTTGCTTCCCACGATTTGCTGCCTGAAATGGTTTAACATAGTTTTGTAACCTCCGCCTGTACTGCTCAAAACTGTTCGGGACTTGAATCGTTCGTTACATTTTATTTTTTCATTCCTTTCTTTCCTTGCCTGCGAATCCATGTTGTATTTTTAAAAGTAACACTGTATTTGAAAACGTCACAATATTCAAGCGGCATGCCAAACCATCGCACTTCATTCAGCGTGACCATCGCACTTCATCGTCCCCATCGCACCTCCGAGTCCTACATATATATATATATACTAATAAAACCAAAATTGTTAATTTTTTTCTACCTTTTTCAATTACCCGTATTTGCGCAGAAATCTCTTTCTTTCTTCCGGTCTCGTTTGTCAAGGGGATTTCAGTAAAAGATAGAAAGGAGCATCATATTGTATCCCGCAAATTTGTAGTTTTTGATTTCCGAAAGAAAAATGCCAGTTAAACAATTAATATAAATTCCTTACATTTAATATACGATTGTATAGCAAACAAATTGTGTTCTCTTGTAAAACTCACCTGATCAATCAGTCAGATTTCAGTATCCGATAAGAATAACAAGCCTATTTGGTATCTTCGTCGTTTAAAGATATAAATTATAACAATGTTATTTTAATAATTCTTTGACATGAAAAAAGGCGTTAACCGATGATAGCTTGTCTTTGTTTACATTGGAAATGACGTCACAACTAAACTTCCCAACAACAGGATCAACAACGGAAACATTTCCGTATTTCCGTTTCTTTTTCAACAGATTCTGAAGTTAAAATGTGCTTGAATTCAAAAAATAATTTCGTCCCCTTTTCACAGGTAAAACCTTCCTCATATTATTTTAAATCCTGATATAATTTGCGGTAAGTATTTGACATGAACGTAAATGTATTTTATCTATCCAGAATTGTCAAAGTAGACAACCCCGATCTGATATCCACTCATATTGTCATAGCTGTTGTACTTCAGATGTCTGCAATAAAAATGGATGTGGCCATAATGGTATGTTTGTGACGTTACTGAGAAAAACAATGCGACATGTTAAAATTGCCTTTTTATTTGCGTCCTTGGAGATTTTTTTCAAACAATTCCTTAATGTAACTATTCCTTTACTTCCTTTTTCGCCGTATATTATAGGTAATTTTGGGTCATTGTATGCATTGTAAATCGTAGTTTAAAGAAAAATATTTTTCGTTGTCATAGTGTGTTAGTGCAAAGGTTACACAATTTACTTGTTTTAATCCCCCTAGTAATATCGGTAAAATATGATAGAATTACTAGTATAATATTAACACAACATTTTACAAAGTTGGAGCGTCGGACGCGCTTTTCTCGGTTTATCGTCATCATATACGATGAAAACAAAACATAAATAGATTTGAAAGCATGTGATGTATATATACACGTGCTTGAATACGTGATGAGCTAAAAGGGACCTACAAAGAATAGCATAATCCACTTTGGTCTACTTTGCATGAGAGAGAGGGAACCTTGGATTCTTTATGATTTTTAGAAAGATATGTTATTAATCATGTCGGCGCTTCCTGTCGATGTTCTGACTACTGTACTTCTGATTATGTGTCGACATGAACTATCAACGATATGGTCACAATTATAAATTAACTTTTTACAAAACTTTGAACTTTTCAAAAAACGAAATGATTTTTTTTTTCCAGGAACAGATTTCCTTAGCTGTATTTGGCAAAATCTTTCTGTTTTTTCGGTTCTAAATGCTCCTTAAATTCTTTCTTTATTTGGCCTTTTTCACTTTTTGATTCGAGCATCACTGATGGGCTTTTTTTATGCAAAACGCGCGTTTGGCGTATACAATTTTTATCCTGGTATCTATGAAGAGTTTATATAGAACAACTAAAAAAACCGATAGCTTGAATTATGTTGCAAATAATGAACAAACCAATACAGTATAGTAAGCTATAAAAGACTTTGTATGACGAAAGGTAAAACAATTCAAAAAACGGATGGCCAGATTAATACTCAAAATAAATATTGCACAGCGCAACCATCGACAGTTACTGTATTTTAGGCTCCTGATTTGGGACAAGCACATGTAAATGATGTTGCGAGGTTAAACTTATATTTCAGCTTTACTCCTTTTTCTAAACAAGGACAGTGATGTAACAGTCATGTACGAATTATAATCATCTGTGATAGTTCATGCTTGTATAGAACGTCATTCTGTAAACGTTGATATAATGTCAGAACATGTTTATTGTACCGTTTAGGAATACCAATAAATCAAGTTGGTCCAATATGTTACCAGTGTACAGCTATACCAAACCATGCAGATTGTAAAACTGTGACATTGTGCCGAGCGAATGAGGTAATGATTTTACATAGCTTCTATTGATGGGCAAGCAAGTATTCTCAAGAGATGCAGTTGTAAAAAAATGAAATAATTGAGGCAGATGTATATCATACCTAGCTTTTAATTAGTATTTCATGACATGGGCTTATGATCTAAGATAAAAATTGTAATCAAAATTTATTTTAAAAATACACAAAAGATAAAAAAAAAAAAAACAAAGTCATTTACACTTATATATTATTGTAAGCTCACAAAATAAAATGTGCGTCGCTTCCTTTTAGACAGATACTGACAATACACCTTGCAATTCCCAAAACAATAGATAAAACATTTTCATTTCATTGAATTCGTTCATATTTTGCGTAGTTAGTTGACAACGTCCCTCATGTCTTCGACAATTTTAGAACTAAGCAGGACAGTATATAAGTTGTTAACTAATGCAATCGTGTAAATTACATGAAACTGATTCTGACAGTTATTCATATCAAGAAAAAGAAACATAATTTTACTTCAAATTTATTTGAAAGTCTAATAATAAGACGGGTGTGATGTACAACGATACCAACAAATCTTATAATAGGCGAACATTTCTGTGTCCAGACAGCTGTACGTATGGAACCGACAGATCGATTTTAATGCGAAATCGATATATAATTTACAATAGTATTCAGAAAAGTTACATAAGGGATTTAAAGTAGTTTTGTACGCTGATATAAACTTTTCATTATAATCATATGTTTATTTATAGATTTGCTTCATTTATTCATTTGGCCGATATACAAAGGTGTACATGAGTGGCTGTAGAACACGACTTGTAAGTTATGTATGAGTGTACGTCAAACTTATAATTCTTTAATAATGTATGTATGTATATAAACTCATCATAGATACCAGGATTAAATTTTGTAATTACGCCAGACGCGCGTTTCGTCAACAAAAGAGTCAAATTTAATAATTTAGTGATCATGAATTGTGAAACCGTTCAAACAGTAAATTTTACAAAAATAATATCTGCAGTTTCCAAAGCTAATGTTCTTTTGAGTAACATTTGATATAATTTGATACTGATTGAACCTTTTCATTAATTGAGTGCTGTTTTAAAGCCAAAATCACAAGGATACACAACTGAAATTTATTTATACAAACAAACACCTTCAATTAAAAGAGTAATATAACAACCGGGCATGTTTCTCCAACCAAAAAATAGCATTCAAGAAAATATATGTAATATAGTGATAATCATTAATCTAACTTTCAATGTAAAATCTTAAAACAAGGTTTACTGTATTCGAAAGTACTTTCACATACTTATAATGCACAGTAATGAAAGACCCAGACATAAAAATAAATCTACTTCAAAGTATATATAAACCAATACATCTTTTAAATGGGTACACCTTTTAGCTTACGAATAATAAATTGATCATGATCGAAACTAATAACAAATAATGCAACTATAACATCATTAGTGTGAGAAATTAATTCCCAATAAGACATTCAGTATATTCAAAGTTTGTATCAATTATTATGTTTCAGTCATGTCAAAAGTATAGCGGATTCAACAACATTATTGGGAGACGTCGTAATGAGACAAGAAGTAAACAAGAGTGTAACCGATGCTGTGAGACTAACTTGTGCAATTCGAATTGTACAGATAACAACTAACAAAACTTTCGTTCTCTTTCGCTTCTTAATTTTTTGTCTTTAATTGTGTGTGTGTTTTTTTTTTTATTTCTATTTTATTTTTTTAAAACAATAGAGGTATCTACATTGCAATTATGACAAATTGTTAGTAACGTAATGTATGAAATGTAATGTAACTGAAGCAAAATTTCTGAAAACATATAATAAATCTTTCGAAAAATAAATTTGATTTAAAATTGTGCTTTAGTTTTAGTTTCCTGCTTTCTTGCCTATTAAGATTTTGTATGATCTTTTAAAATTGTTGTCCTATCATTAAAGCTATGGTATCAACATAGAAAAACAAATGTACACGCCCATGATTAAGTCGTTTTAATGTTGCATTATTCGATTGTTTATGTTACTTTTCATGTCGTTCCTGATTAGTGAACAAACTTCTTAAAATAATAACCAATCGAACTTTTAATCATTTCACTGTGACCATTGACTAAAGACATTGCAGCCTACTGATCGATGGTGTCGTCAGACTACAAAAAGATAACTCTTCAGTCAATGAGGGTATCATCAGCTCAGTAGTCAGGACTTCGGTACTCACATGATTTATAACAAACCTTTCTAAAACTGTCTGTTTATAAAGTTTGAAATTATAAAGAAACTAAGGTTTGAACTCTATCAGGCAAAGTTGACCTTAGTTGGATTTGGCTATTTTTCAGGTATTTTTTTTTATCATATAGCTCTTCAACTGTTTCGGTTCTTATTCATCCTCGGCTTTCAAATATTCGGCTTTGAGCGTTCTTGGTGAAGGTGAATACAGAAAAGCGCTTCGGACGCACGTTTTTAATTGTTTTCCGCCAATGCGTTTTCATTTTTACGATTTTGATATGCAATAACGATTGCTGTTTACGTTAATGAATAATTCAGCATCTTTTTCATTGTTAAAAATAGTCGGTGTTTTCCAGATAGATTACTTTGACTACATTTAGTCCAGATGCTTTCAAAAATTAGATATTTTTAACTTTCAATTAGTTCGTCGTCAAGCGATCATCAAATGCGACTTATCACCAGGTATGTTATAGTCGTGTGCAACACGACGAATACCATAAATGGAGCAGGAACTGATTGCCCTTCCGAAGCACCTGAGTTCTCCGCAACTGTTTGTTGGCATGGTGTTGTAATTGCTTTATCTTTATCTTTCCGTTCAGTTTTTGTTGACAATTGGGTTTTTTCCCCCATTGTTTTCTTTTTACCATTTTTTACCATCTTTCGTCGGCTAATATTTTCTTTTACATCTCCTTGACAAATTTTAACTTTTTGGTCGTCTTCCGATAATGAAGTTAGAGTATGGTCGGCATTGAATGAGAATCTATCGTTTGTGGCGTAGTCAATTTCCTATGACTTTTGTGTATCTTCCGCTTTTTTTTTGTACAAAAGCAAAACAGGAGCATTTTTGTTTCTTTTTTATACTCGTAGTTATAAGATTTCATGAAAATAAATATCAATTAAGGGCATAACTTCAAAAATCATTTGATGAAACAAATGTTTTCATGCTTTAAAATAATTTCAAGAGTGATAAGTGATAAGTAGTTTTTAAAATGGTAGAGCATAGTTGCGGGCCTTGAAATGTTATTAAGATGATGTCTTATTACGGGAGAAAACTCTTTAAAAATAGCCAAATGATTAAATTTACTTACGGTGCAAAACACTATATACAGAATTTGTATAAACCAATGTGTACAAAGTCTGAATCCAAAATAAACCATCTCTTACGATTCAAGAATAAATATAAACAATTTAATCTTTTATTCCCAATCAAAAATTGACAGACATTGTTGTTAAGTCAATTCATTCTGCTTGTATTGCAAGGAAATGCAGGTAACTAATTTTGTTATCATTAAAAAATTCTACTGGCGGTTTGCAAGTAGTTTCTAAAATTACCAAAACAACAACTGTAAAGTTTATTGCAAAAAAAACTTGAATAATTAGTATAGCATCGTCACATGCTATCATCAAGTATGAAGAAACAAAGAAACAATTATCACTGTATCATTTATTTCAATTTCTTTGAGACAGACTTAGCTTTTTAAAATTCAAAATCGGAACTCCATAAATTTATCAAAATAAACTGTAGTACTACTTTATCTATAGCATTGTAATGTGACTTATCTACTATTTGGACCACTGTGTATAGTGCTGAGTACAATAATCTGTCATTTTATCGGAGTGACACATAATTGCATAGATCTTATTTATAATAGATAAAAATCCTTTGTTTATAAATATTTCAATCAAAATCTTCAGTGGAATGATATCAATAAAATTATGTAAGTTGACTATATTTTCCTTTTACTGTCGATCCTGAAATAAGATGAAAATCATAAGACTATGATAGAATCGAACATATTTGGAAATGGAACAAAATTTTTCAAAATGTAAGAACAATCAAATATCGAATGTTTGTAGGACAAAATATGATACAAACAAACAAAAGCAAACACGCAGAATTGCAGACCATTGCAAAATCATTTGTTATTATCATAAAACCATAAACTTCCAAATGGACTCAAAATTCGGAAGGGAAATCAGTGGATTGTAGGTCATTGTGACATTAAGCAGTAAACTCGATTTTTTTACGTACCCTTTTTCAACTTATTCCTTACAAGTTCTACTTTTCGAGAAAGTTTTTTAAGGGGAGGCATTACCAATTGTTACGTGTATTTAATCATTCTTTTTTGAAGAATTCACCAGACTAAACAAAGACTTCTAATCGATATTATATAGACAAAAACCCTGAGTTGATTATTTTGTAGTCATTTATATCATGAATATATAAATATATCAAAGAACATCAGTTGTTCGACCTGTTAGTCAAATGCGATTTGTTTGAATATACTTTTCACTTTTTTGGTCTTTTGGAAAATGTTGTTTGTGCTGTATTTAGACCCCTCTACCAAGAAATTTGTTTAACATGCACACGTATAAAAATTGCGGTTTTTATCCAACGCAATCATAGGTTTGAACGTTGTATTCAATTTAGACTTGTTTATATTTTTTCGTTTGGGCTTGTATTATATTTTCCTTCGGGTTTATATGATCCGTTCATCCTATTTCGACTCTTTAAAATTCAAGAGTCTATCCTGAATTGAGGTAAATTATATGGCCTTCCAAATACCGTTTCGATCCCTAACATCACTGAAGAGACATTAATTGTCGAAATCCGGATATGGTGTACAAATTTTTGCACCTCATGTTTGCGGTATACCATCTTCTCCGCAAGTTTGTTTTCTGTTTGGTATTAAAATTAATAATCAAGATCCATGTAACATCTCGTGATCAATTTATTTGGCAATCGCAAATGGCAGTCAGCAGAATTTAAGAACATCAGTTGTTCGACCTGTTAGTCAAATGCGATTTGTTAAAATATACTTTTCACTTTTTTGGTCTTTTTGGAAAATGTTGTTTGTGCTGTATTTAGACCCCTCTACAAAGAAATTTGTTTTACATGCACACGTATAAAAATTGCGGTTTTTATCCAACGCAATCATAGGTTTGAACGTTGTTTTCAATTTAGACTTGTAAATATATAATATTATATAAACGAATGTTTTGTTGAAGTAAATACGCATTACTTCGCGTGATTAAAGCATGAAACATGAAATTTGTTCCAAACTAAATAGCTAAAAGACTAACATATCAACTGGATCTGATGCAGTTCATACATTGTAACTACACGAAAACCGTCAAATTAGAAATTCGATTTTTGTGCAATGTTTGGAAGTAAACAACGAGATATGAATATACAATTTCTGTAAAAAGTCAAATCTGATCTGATCAATGAGTAATATGTGTAAATAAATCCAACAATGTAAATCTAGATAACGGTACTTTATATTGGGATTGTGACTATCATTTTGGTGAAGTATTCACTCTATTGAATAATGGAAATAAAAGTAAAAATGATTCAAATGTAGGATTGATATCAACAAAAATACAAAACAGTACAACACGATTGATGACTTAGGTTATGATAATGCAACTACTACTAGGGGGCGTTTATCGACCTTGACTACCCATTAGGGAAATTGCATGATTAAGCATAAATGACATCAAATGACTTTTGCGTAGTGTGCGTACTTTATTGTATTGTAGTAAAATGTTTCGCTACACCATACAACAATAGAAAAAAAAGTTCTAGTAAATGTTAATGTGAATACAAAAATATCTTACATTTCTGGGTAGTGCTATTTTTGTATATTAAATCTTTTTCTTTGCTTTTTATTTTTGTAGTGTGTTTTTTGACAGTTTATTTCAAAGGAATAGCAGGTAAGTAAAAAGAGAATAATTTTCAAAGTTGTATTTCTTACTGCTGTTAGGCTTCATTTAGTCTGTAATTCTGTAATTAAAATGTATTCAGATATGTGAATTGCTAAATCAAAATTGAAAATCTTCTCATCAAATTTATAAAGTGTTCTTTTCATTTTCTGAAATTGTTTCATCTCAATGGTAATGTTTTAGAACTTAACAATCAAAGGTTATTAATACTTTTCACTTGCAGGGTTAACATGCTTCAGTTGTAAAGATATTGCACATCCGAGATTTTGTGACTATGTAGAGACCTGTGATGATGGACAGGTAAATTAAGGCGACAGTAGTTTACCATTGTTCAAATTAATATCGTAAAGCGCAAGGTATAAAACAAAAACTGATGGGATAACATGAACTCCAAAAGGAACGAGACTGTGTGCGTCGACAGGGTGAACGTCTTCTACTTTGCATGTTGTATATGTCTCCAAACAATTAGATAAGGATTATGTCGTTTGCTAGGCTACTTATTTCCATGTTATTAATTCATCGTGTTAAACAATCATTTTATTTATCAATAACGTTTTCTACTCAAACTATTGTTTGTCTGACACTTTTGAAAGTTTTGTTTCTTAGTTGCCAGGAAAGACACAGTATAGATTGTATTGCGTTGCTCGTAGAAACAAAAAAGAAGTTGACACAATGTCTATTTACATAGTACTACAATTTGTTTTCGAATTTCAATTTGATTTCTTCAATCTATCAGTATATGTTGTTCCCAAATTGGGGGTCAGTTTTTAAAATTGAACTTTTATCACAAATAGTACATATGTCATTAGAAAACTTTAGATATTTTATTTGTCAGCGTCAACAAATAGATAAACACTTTCAATACTAGTAGATTAATGGGTAATATTGATCTATAATGGAGTTACATATTTTCTTTTAGTATTGTACCGTAACAAAATACTTGAAGACATCGGGCGAGATCACTTACAATCTTAGTTGCGCTTCTAACACAGTAAGCATATGATTTATCTATTTAACGTTCATTCATTGCGTTTTCGCATTCTATGTTAAATAAGAAATTGCATTTTTCTATTTAATTTGAGAACAGTAAGTTATACAATTTATGAAAATAAAGATGATTGTTATTGAAACATAATCTGTGTTTCACTGGTATATTTTAAACCAGGGAATTACTTACCACAAATTATCTAAAAACGTTACTTTAGTCTTTAATACAAACAAAGTCTTTGATCAGAAGATGGTTGTACCTGTGGTAAATTATTGAAAAGAGGGATATCACATCCTACTTTTTTCGGGAATGTTGTTTAGAGAGCCCGTGAATTACGAAACGATTCATGTAAACTTATCGACCCTTTAAATACACTATTGTCATAGAGTATCAATTTAACATTGTAACAAGATCTTTGAATAGTGTATTTATCGGTACCAACATTGATTTTGTTAAAAGTATATTTAAACATAACTCAATATGTATTGGTATACAGCTATGCACATTTATGGTCCTACATCCTGTCGATATTTATAGTTTGGCATTGCACAAGGTCATGTTTGTTTTTCTTAGGCTGTTATAGTGCATTTACGCTTAATCTACTGGATGTGTTCGGATATTTTAGTCTGGGAAATAAGATTTATTTATAAGTTTTTATTGGCATTAAACTACCATTCAGTAATTAGATCGGTACTTCATGTCTGTTTTATTTTATAGTAGTTTTTATGTGTATCGATCTGGTGAGTTAAGCCTTTTCCAACTGATTTTTACAGTTTGTTCTTAAGTTGTGCTGCTTCACCACTGGTAAGGGGAGGGTTAATCACCCGAAAACACTTTTAACCTAGCCTCACTATGTATATGTGCCTGTCCCATGTCAAGATCTTGTATTTCAATCATTGTCGTTGATTGCTTTCTTTCATGATTGATTTTCATAAATGTTTTTTTGCACATTAATCAGGATGTTAGTTTTTCTCGTCTGAGTTCTTTTATATTCTGCCATGTCAAGGAATTATATAGCTTGCTATACGGTATGGATTTGCTCATTGTTAAAGGCTGAACGTTGACCATTATTTGCCCATATCTTCATCATTTTTGTCTCTTGTGGAAAGTTTTTTTCCTGTACTCTTGTTTGTATAGCTATGCCTAAGTCGTTGACAGGTTTCTGTCCATGTTTTGTACAATTCCCAAACAAACAACAAAGAAAAAAAAGTCCACAAATCATACAGCATATAAGACAAAGTATTGAGGAACACGAAGCTCACAAAATCCAAAGACGAACTCAGGTGCTCTGATATGAAAATAGTTGATGCTGAACTAGTGACAGCCGTTGTGTTAATTGTGACAAGTAAAATCCAGAAATAAGTATTCATAAATATGAGAGGGGGACGGCATTGTGTATTAGCCGATGCAGATTTCTCGTAACTGTTAATTATTACTCGGTGGTGTTATAACAACAAACGTTTGTAGAGATGACTGTAATTTCGTTTTAGTAGCTTCCTTGTTATCAACGACCCTTAATTATGGGACTCTTGGTCGGGAAAGTAGCTCTGGAAAATCATACCATTCAGGTGACAAATCCTTCAAATGAGGTGTTGCTTGAATGAAAAGCTCACATTTGCTTGAATGTCTGTATATAAAAGACAATCTAAATAACCGGACCAGAATCTATTAATTTGCAAATATTCATTTTAGAGAAACTTTGCTTTCTTATTTTGTATATTATTTTCGTCAACAGACGTGTACAAAGAGATCTTTGGGACATGAAGAATGTCATACATGTTGCTCACTCAATGTATGTAATGATGCTGGTTGTGGTGAGCAAGGTATGTAACGTAAAAAAAACACATGTTACCGATTTCTGTGCGCACGAAATGTGTTTCTGGCATAATATCTATCTGATGCGTCCGAGATTTCAATCTTTGAAAGCTTAAATAAAACTTTATTTTCATTTGTGAGCGTCAAAACCAATTTGCGCCTAAAAAGAACAGCCAAAATCTCAAGATTCAGAGATACTTGAGAGAGTTTCAACAAGTTACCTGATATCATATTCATAATTTGAAAGGTCGTGTTTACGAAAAACAGTTCAAGATAAATGCATTAAATACAAATGTGTGCATATAGTCAAGATGGTCTGCTTTGTATTAATTTTCTTTAAACCAAGTTCAACTATCAAATCTTATTTGACTGGCAAGTTGTCCTTTATATGCAGGTTCAGAGACATAACGGTAGTAGATTTTAAACGATTACACTTAAAGATTTTAGATAATGAATTTACAATTCTCTAATTCACATCCATAAATAATTAAGTGTAGATAATTTGATTGAAAGATGACTAAACATACTATTGCTTAATTTGATTTCTTTCAATTATTTTACAAATCAAAAGGAATAGTGCGCAACAGTGGTCCTATCTGTTATAAGTGTTCAGGAGTTTCCAGCATGATTGAGTGTAAAACAATAACCACGTGTCCATCACATGAGGTTAGATATATATATATATGTACATAATTTGTAAGGTTATAATCAATAAGACAAAATCTATAGAGGTAAACTACAATGACTCTGCCAAACAAATACGAACATGTTTTAAAGATACAAAACTTCAAATGTATTTAAAATCATTCATAGATGGGTACGAAACTTCACATAGAAATGGTGACGAATAACAGCATTTTACATTTTAATTTACGTCATGGCATAAGTTTATTTTTTTCAAGTTTTGATAATATTTATGATATTTTATTCCTTTTATAGATTTGGAAAAACACATACAAACACTACATAAAAACCCAATGCAAAAGATCTCTATTACTGTTCATTGTCAAAGAGTCACAATGAGGTCTTCAACACAAAACAAAAGTTCACACATCACTGTAAGTTCAAGACTGTCCATATATAATTCTGAAGAAGTAACATAATAGAGCTTTATATATATATATATATATATATATATATATATATAATGACTGAGTAATAGCCAACGATAAATCTTACGGGGCGATGGATCATATAAATATGATACAGTACACTACACAATATAATATATAACCAGTCTAAAAGGGTACAACATCACCAAAAAATGACAATAAACGAACAAATGTAACTATAAATATTTCGGATAACAGATATCCTTCATCAATATGAACACGATGTAAAATGAATCAGATAAATCTATTATATTTATATATATATATATTCACTTACAATTTTTACATTTTAGCTTTGTATCATTGAATCTAATGACAGAAATGGTGAAATGTATTTCAATAGTGGATGTCAGACAAAATATGTAAGTTATGGCGAACTGCACTTAACTTTATATTTCATATGATTATGTTGAAACATTGATTACACGAAACGAGTATAAATTTCAATACTATTATTATCTTATTAGAGAAAATAATCTCCCTTTTGACAGTAATCAAGGCTTGTATAGACGCACTGTTCTAATAGTATTTATAACAGCATGTTTTAAGCACCAGTTAAATGATTAAATGATTGCGAATAATTGCATTTGCCAAAAAAAATCGGTTAATCGCCATTTGATATTTTTTTTTATCAAATTACTTTAAAGAACTTATAAATATTAGGCCTGTGACATGGTAGCAGGAACTGGAAACATTTTTGGGAAACGTGAGATCAACCACACAAGACCAAGTTACTGTAAAAGATGTTGTGCCGAAGATTTATGTAATACTAAATGTAGCATAGATTTAAAAACGACCCCATTAGTCACAACCACAAAGACGACAACATTAGTCACAACACCAAAGACGACTGGTATTATTTTTGTTTGGGGTTGGGCTATTATGTCTACCTTATTGTCATAAGCAATATGTAATCATGAAAAAAAAAACTAAAAGATATCTTATGGAATTGTAACCAAGATAATGTATTGACAATTTGTTCATATAATTCTTCTTCTTTAGAGAGACAGAAGTGGACAATTCTAAACGTGCAAATATGGGAAAATAAAAATATCAAATATTTGTTCGTACGTTCATATTTAATTCCTTGTTATGAACCTTTTTTCAAGAGATTCGTTTTTATCTATTTATACTGGTTATCATATCCAGTTAAGGCGAAACTTAAGTTCAAAAGTTATTTGTGTACTTCGTTTGTTTAGATAAAAGGAGGCGGAATATACCAATAAGGCATAATAAAAAAAAACGATATCTATGTAGACTTCTTTTGATTTTGCCATTTGATTGCGGACTTTCCTTTTGGAATTTTCGGAGTTCAGTATTTTTGTGATTTTACTTTTCATTATTGTCCGGAGACTTTATTTTTTTGTAGAACACTTTTATAGTTGTGTGCTATTTCTTTTATGTAAAATTCTTTGACATTTGATTTTTTTGTAAACCCCCTTTATAGAATTCGAAGGTTCTATAAAAGGTTTTTATAAAAACTGAAAAACGATACTTTGTAAATTTTCTGAATTTAACGTTCAAACCGTCTATTTGAAAGCCAAGGATGTATAAGAACGGAAACAGTTGAAGAGCTACATGACCAAAAAGTGCCTAAAAATAATACCCAAATCCATCTAAGGTCAATTTAGACCTAAGGTGTTCAAACTTTGGTTTCTTGATAATTTATAAATTTATAAACGAACAATTTGAGAAAGATTTGCTATTAGAATGTCTGTGCTAACTACTCCTCTACTCAACTACTACTACTACCTCGGGGACTGATAGTCCACTAGCAGCAGTATCAACTCAGTGCTGTTAGAATTAAACAAAAATACTTTATCAATCTAATGCGTCCGTAGCGCTTTTCTGGATTTATCTTCGTCGAGAACGCTCAAAGCCGAAGATTTCAAAGCAAATGATGTATAAGAACCGAAACAGTTAAAGGGCTATATTTTATCATACAAGTGGGTGGTTTAGCTAGCTATAAAATAAGGTTTAACCAAACATTTTCCTCGAAAAATACCTGTACCAAGTCAGGAATATGTCATTTGTGTTTCACTTGTTCCGTGATTGATAGCGATTGCTTTTGGTTTCATTGATTACCCCTTTTTAATTTGCTTTGAAGTTCGGTATTTTTGTTATACATTTTTTTTGTCTATTTTGTTCTTGTCATATTGTTTGAAGACTATATCCTTGTTTTGCATATTAACTCAAAGATTTCCGATTATGATAATTTGTTTTAAAGATCCCTTTCATAATTTTTGGAAAACTGCATATTACTTTGTACAGCCCTGTCGTAGATATCTGAAGACTTATGTTGGTTTTTGCAAGCCCTTTTATATTCGTTTGAAGACTTTATGTTGGTTTTATAACTTATTTCATAATTGTCGGAAAACTTTATTTGTGGCTCTACGTAATAGATGCCTTAAAACGTTATCTTTGTTGTGTATACCCCTATAATAGGTGTCTGAAGTTTTTATCGGTTTTTTATTGACTGACCCTTGTCAAAGATATTTGAAAACTTTGGTATTGTAGACCACTTTCGTAGTTGTCTGAAAACTCAGTCTGTGTTTATAAACCCCTTTATAACTGTCTGAAATACTTCATAATTATTTCGTAGATATCTGTTGTAGATACCTGAGAAGACTGTATTGATGTTTTGTTTACCCCTGTAATAGATGACTGAAGTTTTACATTGTTTTTATCTGCAGGATCACGTCATGTGTTTCTGTATAATTTGTGTTTGATTTTGTACACCCCTTTAATAATTTATGATAGATTTATCTGTGTTTTATCAACCTTTTCAACGTTTGTATTAGGTTTTGGACTGAATGTTCTTTCATCGTTAAGTTGTCTGACTATCTTTTTTGCAGACTCATGTCAAAGGTATCGGAAATTTTTTTTGTTTTTGTTTTTTTGTTTATTTTACCCTTGTAATAGATATCTGAATACATTATCTTTGTTTGGTAGATTCCTTCTATAGATTCCTTCTTCTTTTTTTTTTTTGCAGACCTCTGTTTTAGATGTCGAAAGACACATGACAAAGTTTTCTGAAGGCCTTATATTTGATTATCAAACCCTTGTCATAGATTTTATAAGGCCTTTTCTTATTTGCCTCGACCATTGTAGTATGTTTGAAGTATAATCCGTGTTTTTCAGACCTTTGTCAGTCAAAAAACCCCTGTAAAAATGATGGTGGGTGTGATAAAGATGGTTCTTGGCTCAAATGTAAATGTTTGTATAGTTATTACGGAAATTACTGTGAACAGCAGGATTCAGGTATGTTGTCTTTAAATTTAAATATATGAGATGTCAGAATTGAATTTACATTTATGTCGATGGTGCCAAACTAGTTTTACAAGTTTAAAGTTCAAATAACAAATTACATACATAATGAATAATGAGATATACAATTCATAATTCTGCAGAAATACTTGTAACGAAGTACATGTAAAAAAGAATCATGATATGTAAAGCTTTTGCCGTCATACGAAAATGCAAATATCAAATACTGGCAGACAGGTATTACTAAACCACTTAAATTGATAGACTCTAATCATTGTATACGATAGATTTTTTTCCTGAAATATCTCTTTAAAAAGATAACTGTAACTATATACATTCATAATTGAATTGTAAAAAAACCATTGGTCAACATATTTATTATCGAGAAATATTGAGTTTAAGAGATAGCAATATCATATACTATATCCTTAACTATGAAGAATCATTAAACTTTTTTTTTATCAAAAAAAATCATTTTACGTAATACAATTTAATAGATAAAAAGGACCTGGGTATTAAAGGCGTGCGTTCTATACTGCAATAGTTTCAACAGATTTATCAGGAAGAACGACTGAAATCTACACCACATAGGTTTTACGGTCATTATCGCGAATTGATACCAATACAATGTATACGTATCTCACAAGTGACACGTTTAATCGGTCTCATATCTTATATCATGCAGATGATAGTATTCTGGTTTGTAACTTTCATTTACCATTCCGGATTATTACATTGAGTGTGGTTTCGCATGGCGTGGTATGCATACATAACAGGAGATTCCTACGCTGTCGAATCACCCTGTCTTGCTCCTTTTTGGAGTGCATATGATTTTCTCATTTAAAAAACCATTGGTCAACATATTTATTATCGAGAAATATTGAGTTTAAGAGATAGCAATATCATATACTATATCCTTAACTATGAAGAATCATTAAACTTTTTTTTTATCAAAAAAAATCATTTTACGTAATACAATTTAATAGATAAAAAGGACCTGGGTATTAAAGGCGTGCGTTCTATACTGCAATAGTTTCAACAGATTTATCAGGAAGAACGACTGAAATCTACACCACATAGGTTTTACGGTCATTATCGCGAATTGATACCAATACAATGTATACGTATCTCACAAGTGACACGTTTAATCGGTCTCATATCTTATATCATGCAGATGATAGTATTCTGGTTTGTAACTTTCATTTACCATTCCGGATTATTACATTGAGTGTGGTTTCGCATGGCGTGGTATGCATACATAACAGGAGATTCCTACGCTGTCGAATCACCCTGTCTTGCTCCTTTTTGGAGTGCATATGATTTTCTCATTTTTATGTTTGTAACATTGTTTAGTTTCTTCCTAATCAATTTGTGAGATTTACACATCAGTAAACCACAGTTGCTTAAATTTATTAGCTTACCTGACCCTATGGAACAGTTGGTGTACTGCAATCACTTGGCGTCCATCGTATATTATATTTAAAGAAAATCAGACAAAGACAAAATCATATCTTCTTTCAAGTCAATATTTTGTGGAAAGAATATTGATATCAAGAGAAGCAATTGTATATTTTATTTTTTGTTTTTGTTAAATTTAACCTATAATGAAGAAAAACTAACTTTATCTTCTTTAAACATTATAGATTCAGTTGGAACGATATTTTACTTGGCTTTTCTGGCGAGCTTTGGTAGTCCTCCTTCGTTTGCACAACTGTATGTCATTTCGAATCAAAACGGAACATGTAGGATACGTATTCCGTACCTAAATATAAACACATCAGTGGCTGTAACATTCGACAATGTAAGTCAATATCGTATAAACAGCAGCATTCTTATGACGACACAAGGAATACAAAATAAAGCAATACTTGTTAGTTGTGACGTTCCGGTGTCTATATACGGAATGAATTATGCAAATGTAGTCACAGAGGGCTATCTTGGTATTCCGCAGAGTGGACTTGGTCGCAGATACATAGTGTCGTCCTTCTCTCAAGATCTGTCAGAGTTTGGAATTATTGCACCCAGTAATGATACATTTATTTCAATTAACTTAAGATTGAAGTCTGGTGACTTAAAGTATAATGGACAAACATACCATCCAGGTGATTCATTAAATATAACAATGTTCAAAGATGAAACATTTTATTTATTTTCCTACAATGATCTGAGTGGAACAATAATTACATCAAGTAAACCCGTTGCTGTTGTGTCTGGAGTCAAATTAAGTTTCATGAACGACGAATACTCAAACCATATGACAGAAATGATTTTACCCCATAGACACCTAGGCAGGAATTATATAGTTCCTGTGTTGTATAATTCGCAATGCAATTATAGGATATTCGCGGACAGTCCCTCCAGTATAACAATCCAGCAGGGTAATAACACTAAAACTGATATTAAGCATCTGACTACAGGACAGTATCTTGAGGTTAAGAACTACAAATCAACAACCATTAGATCATCCACTGGTATCCTTGTACAACTTTACTGTGATACAAATGGTCTATCCTACGACTCTGTAATGGTGACTTTGCCTGCCATTCAGCATTTTAAAGCGGGCTACCAGTTTGTAGCCGTTTCCGACTTTCCACCAGGTTACCAACCAAATAATTATTACATGACAGTTATCATACTAACAAATGCTGTCGACGGACTTAAATATGACGGATATTTGTGGGTGTCTTTCATACAAAAATCATCC